ATATTTTAAATATATTTTAATTATAAAATAATAATATTTTAAGTAGATTATCACAAATATAATTAAGTATATTTTAAGTATTTTTTAAATATGCGTATTTCTTATAGGGTTGTTATTGTTATCTTTGTCATGTTTTCTGTGTTATCAAAATCTTCTAAATCCATTTTTTTTTAAAAAAAAAAATAGATAAAATATTTAAATTTTCAACAAGGAAAAGATTAGAAGCATTTTTATACAAGCTTACCGAATTTCCATCCTTTTCCTTACAGTTGTTTGGAAATAATACTATCAATAATTTGGTTAACAAAGAATAATTTATAGTTTTACATTTTCAATATTTAAAATTGTACCTTTTTTGTTGTCGTCATTATTATTGTTGATTCTTCTCTGGAAATGACAGAAAGGATATTATTATTAATTCATAACCAAGTTTTACCAAACGATCTGGACAATAATTTGGTTTTTTAATAGTATTTTCATTTACGGTGGAATCCAAAATTTCCAAAATGCTTCATTGGTTTTATTTTTGTCCACTTTACTTTTTATTTGATCAAAGTTTTGGCATTATTCTTTAATTCTTTATTATAATTATAAATTAATATTCAATATTTTTATTATAAATGAATAAAATATATCAAAAATATTATCAAAACAAAATTGGAAAGATCATGAAATATCATCCTGTATATATTGCAAAAAAAAAGTATTGTTGTGCTGTATTGAATTTATTTTATTTATTATTCAAATTTTACATGTTAATGTTTAAATTTCATTATTTTTTTTTTAATTATTTTTCATTATTGTATATACAGTATATATAATTATTATTATTGCTTTTAAACAATTTTTTATAACGAAAAAATCGAAGATAATTTTGACACAATAAAATCAAACAAATAATGAAAGATGATCTCTAAAGTAAAAAAAAAAAAAAAAAACGGTATTGAATTTTGTGTTATATTATTAATTGTTTCCTAATTGATGGCAAGGAATTAGCAAATGTAAATTATAAAACTGTATGTAATTTACAGAACGTTTATAAACAAAATAATAATAATAAATATATTTTTAGATTACTAGAAGGTTGAAGATTAGCTTATTAGTTTTAACTGTTGTAGTAACTTTTATTATTATTTCTTTATTGCTGTATTATAGGCTTAAAGAAAGGTAATATCTGGATTGTAGACACTAATTTTTAAAGAAAGTTTATTTATTGTAAACGTTTTCAATGTAATTATCACGTGTAAATGAACCAATAATGATGCTTTTTTTTTTTTGAAATGTCTAAAGCATAATAAACATTCTGACTTCAGAAATTAGTTTAGATCCATTAGGAAAATATCAAATATTTATTTGTTCTTGGTTTTTCAGAAGTGTTTGTTTCAATCTTATCATACAAAATAAAACTTGCGAGATTTATATATTAAAACTCTTTGAAAATTGAGAATATTTCGTTTAATATTAAAATTTGATTGTTAATGAATCCTTTATATCAAATTGATTACTTTGATTACTGAATATTTTGAATATTTTGAATATTTACAATTATTACTATACATGATATATAAAAAAAAAAATCTCTACTAATATATGTATGTCACATTGAGAGCGAGTAAAAAGTATGAAAGTATTTCAATGACAAAAGGGAAGATGCGAAAAAGATTTTGAATTAAATGATATAAGGAAAAAATCTCAAATCAATTGTTATAAAACAATGTTAGAGGAGTGCAATATGTAAAATTATACTGATAAAATGTCGAGAAATATGCTATATATATTTTAATTTGTATATTAATACTTTATTTAGAAGAAAATTAGAGTGTACTTTGTTAGAAGTTGGAAAAGATATCTTGAATAGAATGATATAAGAAAATTCCAATGAGAAAAGAATTATACTGAATGGAAAAAAACTTTTTTAAATTTAGAACATCTGGTCAGAATTAAAATAAATGATTAAAAGATTGTAACTTTTTGAAACTTTTTCTTTATCCTTTTTTTTTTTTACTAAACTTAAAGATATTGCTAAACTCAAAATATAATTGCGCTCATAATTCCTTGTTACCCAAATTTGTTTATGTAATGCTGTTTAAAAATATATAAAAGTATATATACAAAATATAAAACATTAACGATAAATATTTATTTGAAATAGATTATATATTTGTTTGATGAATCCTCCGTATGTGACTAAAGACATGACTCTAAGAATTGTAGCAGAAATTAAATTGAGATATGCCCATTAAATTGATTACTGGCTTCGTGTCAGCACTTGTAAAATATTTCTTAAAAATTTTAGTATTTATTGCTCATCACAAAATTTGTTTATACATTTCTAATTTAAAGCCATAATTAATATTGCATTCCTAAATAATATTCAAGAATCAAGTAATTTAAAAATAAATTAAAAAATAATTTTTTTAAAATATAATATTTGTGTAAAGACGTTATTTTTAAAAATAATTCACGATTAGATTTTAATTAATATTTCGAATTATTTTTTGTTCAGCGCGTATTAATATTATATCACAAAAGTTTTACTATAATATATTACCTAGTAAATTTTCTATCACAAATACTAATAAATAATTAAAGTCAATTTAGAAAAAATAATATCAAAGTTTTATTCTAAAACAATAATTATAAATTAGAACCTGAACCATCTTTGTTGAAAATATCGTGTATCCCTTCTTTACGGTTAATGTAGCCATTATTTCTTTATTTAAATATTTATTTCTATACGTTTATATATTAATTAATTTTTTTTCATTTAACTACTCAAGAAGTTGAATGAAATGGGAAATTAAAATGGGTTAGGGATAAAAACATACTTTCCTCTACATCCCAATATTCATAAAACAGTTACTGAAAAGAAGAATAAAAAATATGATTAAAAATGATACATCTCTCACAGAATTTGAAAAGAAAGTTTTACTTGATGAATTATGGAAAAAATATTATGCAGTAAGAATTGAAGATGATTCTGTAGAAAGGAAACGATGCAATAATTGTCAGAAATGGCCCAATACTGTGAGTTTTGTATTAATTAGAAAATAAGATATAAATGAAAATAATTCAAATAACAATAATGCAAAATGATTTCAAGAAGTATGTATTTGGTATTTAAGAAATACTAATTCCCAAATTTGGATCAAAACTTGAGTTAAAAATTTCTCGTGTGCAATAAAATATTTTAGACCTTCGAACATTGTTCTCTCCCAAAATAACCAGTGAGATGCATAATCCTTTTCTTTATCAGGGTTTAGTTTTACATTTACTTTATTTAAATAAAAGAATAATGTAATTTAGATAATATTTTTAACAAATATTAGGTTTATGTTAAATAAATTAAATTAAACAAAAATTTTTGAAATCATAATTCTAAAACTTTTCCATGATTTTTGCCGTAATTCGTTGATTCGGGAAAATATGCAATTACTATATTAAAAAATCTGCAAACAAGAAAAAAAATGAAATCAATGCGCATATTATCGTCAAGTAAATACAGGATAAACAAAAAGATGCGAGGGATATGTACACAATTATTATATCATATAAATATACAAACGTTGTTTATTTTTTGACACAAGACCAGTGAGTGTATTACAAAATTTTCGAATGCTGAGCTATCATTTGACGAAAAAAAAAATTTTATTCTAAAAAAGGCATACAAAAAAAAAAAGTAATTCGAGATCTGTAAAAAATCTTAGAATAAATCATTGAAATAAAAAAGTTTACTATATCATAGTTTTGATGACCAAAAATAACAAAAAAAAAATGAGAAATGATTATAACATTATTATTCATATTATTTTTTTTTAAAAAATATTCATGAATAATTTAAATAAAATATAACTCCATTTCATTTATTAAATTCGTCTAAAAATGCAGCAGCATCTGCCAAAAGATACAAGTTTCTTTCATTACTACTTCGTGGTCGTTGTTGTAAAGCTTGTTGTTGTTTCTTTTGACGGAGCAATTGTAATCTGCTTTGGCAAAATTGTTTAATTTGATGATTATATTGGTAAAGTTGATGACCTACTGCCTGTACTTGTTGTTTTTGTCGCTGTTCATTTCGATTTTGTTGTTGTTCATGAAGATGTTCTTGTACTTGAGGACGAATTTGTTGTTGGATATTTTTTCTTGGCTGTCCTCGGCCACGTTTTTGAGGTTGTTGTTGCGGCTGTTGCTTTTGCTGTAATTGTTCTTGTTTTTTCTTTTGAAGTCTTGTTAAGACCATTTTGTTTAAAAAAAAAAAAAATATGGATTCTTGTAAATTTTATAAATAAAATTTATAAAATTTAAAAATTCTAAAATCTTTCGCAAGAGAAAAGGTAATGATAATTGATTTTCGATGTAAAAAATGTAAATAAATAAATAATTTTACAATAACAGTAATAAATTGGTTTTCAAAAGCACAAATGATGATAAGTTATCCAAAAAAGGTAGAAATTGTTCCAGTGTAATCGGGCGGAAATATAAATAAAGCCGGGAATACAAGATTTGCTACTAGGCACGAATGTGGGGGCATTGTATATAATATATACTATAATATAACTTGTGTTAATTATAAAACACTACTTACTGTAAATTGTTCCAAAAATCAATCTCACCATTTTGTAATCGCGAAAACTTAACCTTCTGATAATTTTTTAGTTATATTATAAAATATTTATTATTTAATATTTCTAAAATAATTAATATTTATCATGATAATATTCAAATTTTGTTATAACAAGAATGTATTTTTAGAAGTTGACAATGATTTTGAATCTGTGTAAAGATGAAGATTACGTTGTTAAACTCAATAAATCATAAACCGTTATCATTGTTTGAGAAAATTAACTATAACTAGTATCTTGATGCTTAAAAAGGCGTGATTTACAATACGGTTATATAAATATTACTCCGAAAAGATTTTCATTTGAGAACGAAGCTGGCATTTTATGTTTACACATATTATAGTGATTATGCCCATTACATTTTACGAAAGAAACTTGTAAACTTATTTTTAAAGGTTTTTCATGCTAAATTTTACAAGGGCGAAGTGTTTTTACTTGAATTGAGTAACAATCGGTTGTTATTTATTTTTATTACAAATTATTAATTGAAATTTCATATTTCGCATCATATATTCATTTTCTATTGAATTTGCAGCCACCTCAAATTTAATTTGATTTTTTTATCTAAAAATATTAATTAGTATTAATAAAAACCAAAATAAAATAAATAAATAAAAAACACAATGGTAAATAATGAAATATTATTAATTGCGACGTGATTTATTGGAATTTTAATCGATCAAATTTCATAAGTATAATATATTCTATAAATTCAAATTCATTAGTAAATATTACAATATTTCTCATATTTCTCATTGTTGAAATAAAGAAAAAAAGATATATTTAATAAATTATTATCAAAAAATATTTAAAACCAGATTTTTATCATATGATAATGATTTAAATTAATAAAAAATTTATGCATTCATTGTGTCACTGTTTAGATATAAATTCATGGATTGATTTTATGCACTTATTCATTATCATCATGTCATATTGTCTTTTTTAATTTAAAATCGAAATCTATAAAAAATCTTGGAACAAATCATTGAATTAAATAAAGATCTTCATTAAACCTTGATGAGATGAAATTGATAAAATTAGAAATCTTACAGTATTCAACATTTCGAACAAAAATAAATAAAATATACCTCTATTTCATTTATTATTTTCCCTTAATTCTTCTAAAAATGCGACAACATCTGCCAAAAGATTCAAGTTACTTTCATTACTATTTCGTGGTCGTTGCATTTGATGTCGTAAAGCTTCTTGTTGTTGTATCTTTTGACGAAGCAATTGTATTCTACTTTGACAAAATTGCTTCATTTGATAGTGATATTGATTAAGTTGATGTCTTAATATTTGTTCCTGTTGTTGTTGCTGCTGTTGTTGTTGTTGCTGTTGCTGCTGTTGTTGTTTCTCTAATTGTTGTATTTTTGTTTGATGCCTTGTTAAGACCATTTTTTTAAAATATAGATTCTTATAAATTTTATAAAATTTAAAAATTCTAAAATTCTTTCGAGATTGGTTTTTTGGAACAATTGAAGTAGTAATTAGCTTAAATTATATATATATTGTATATTATATATTATATAGTATATATTTTATCATACATTTTTTTATTGCACAAATTACTGTATATTATTCCCACGATTTATATAAGGAAATTCGACGATTACTACGGAATAATGATTTTGTTTATTTGAATATAAAAATTTTTTTCATGTAAATAAACAGACAATTATACAATAACAGTAAGTTTATCTATTATTTCAAAAGCATACATTAAAATAAATAAATTATTATTCTTATTATTATTTACTCATAATGAAATACTATAACCAATGAAATATTATAACCAAAAAAAATGTAACCATTGTTATATTTGTTTATTTATCATAATTGATAAAACTTCTCGAGATTGTAGCATATGTATTTTTACTATTACACTACTTGCAATTAATGTCAGTATTATATTTGCACGCAAAATAGGCTATCATAGTAAGTCGAAATATTTTGGGCCCGAAGTCGAAATAGTTTTTCATAGAAGACGAAATTATTTTATATAGGAGACGAAATTTTTTAAAACTTGATTTCTATTCTTTTTTTTTATTTCCATATATAGATAAATTTTGCATAAAGTTTGAGGGGACGAAATACTGAACATCAAAAATCCAAAATCAATTTTGGGAACATTTATATAGTTAATTCTCAAACGTAAAACAAGATTGTTTGTAACTGAGTTATGAGTAGTGTAATAAATAATGTAGATATTTCCTTTTTTTTCACGAATCACGAATTAATATAATTAATATTTAATTCCTCATTATTTGTAATTATAAGAAATAAAGTCAATCGCCTGGGTCAATGAGAATTCGATTTTTAGAACAATCTTAAAAATAATTTCCTTTTGAGTTATACAAGATAACGTTTTATGGAGTTAATTAATTTCTTATTACTTCATTTATTTAATTATTTTTTATTATTATTATCTTTTAATTACTTCTTCTATTTCAATTTCTATTTTAATAAATTGTCATACTACCATCTTTAGAACCATCAACCTTTGTCAAAATACCACAAACATTTAAAATAATTTATCAACTTCATCCCATGATCTGTAGAATGAGATGATCTTTTAATTCATAATGTCCTCTCAGATATCAGTTGCTTAGGTAACACTAGGACAAGAATTTTTTTTTCATGTGTAATGTATTAAGTGTATTTTCATGTGACTGTGTTGAAAAAAAAAATACTTTTCGTAGTAACAATTGAGAAAATAAATCACTTTTTTTTTGATATGACTTTATCAGCAGGAGACCTGACTGATTATCAGGAATGAATCGCGTATCATCCAATAACGGACATTTGGAGACAATAACTCTACATTTTACAGCGATATATCATAAAAATGTAATCTATTTAATGCAAACTACATAGTAGGATATATATATAGTCAATGGAAATTTTATTTGTGAATCCATAATAAAGAAAACAATCAAATTTGATGAATGAACCAAAAGCAAATTTGAAAATTTTCTCTATAATTATTACAGGCACCTCATCCTCATAATATCCTTTACACATCACCTAATAGAAAACAACAACAAATTTTAGATACTCAAGATATTATTGAAGATGGTGAATTTGATAGATGATGACTTAAATGTTATAAAATATAATTACAGTAATAAAACTTTGATACTGTAATGAAAGAAAGAAAAAATCATAAAGATTTGTTTATATAAATTGAAATATTTTATACATATTTATATATATTATATATAAAAAAAATTTGATATACGCGAAACAATTTACAAATTTTCTATTAAATATAGATAGGAATGTATCATTTTTTTTTTTCATGTATAATACTTAATAATATAAAGTTTGAGTGCAATTTCTCCCTAAATTTAGATGAATATAAAATTAATAATTATCAATAATAATCTAAATAATTTAATAAAAAAAATAATAATATAAATTCATATAATAAAATAAATTAATTATAATAATACTTACAATTGCGACAAAAACTGCCAAAACAATTAACCAAATAATAATCCAAGTGATTTTAGTCATGTTCGTATTACCAACATCTTCTCGTAACATATCTAACATATCACTTATGACACTACATCGTTCGTTGAGAACCTTTGTACGTTGAGAAATTTCGAGATATGCTAAATAAATTATAATAAATTATTAACATATATATATATATATATATATTGTAAATATTCAAAAATTCATACTTCGAATAACATTATATAAAGGTTGTAACGATGGTTCCGACCAAAATATTTCTGGTGTATCTGAAAAATCATTAATATATAGAACAATAAAATAAATTAAATAAATTCACAATAAAATAATCCACAATAAAATGTAAATTAAATAATTAAAATAGAAATTAATTAAAATAGAAATTAATTAATATAGAAATAAAAAGTATAAATAATATCACAAACCTAATACATTAGACACTAAATTTACGTTCATTCTTAATTTAAACATTTCTCCACTCAACTTTGTAACTTGACTTCGATCCCTATATAAATAAATTAAAAAGTGATAATATAATAAAAGTAATATAATTGGAATATAAATATATATTTAATATGCATTTTTTACTCACAAGTTTAATCTTCCAGTTTGAGTTAACATTTTTGGTATATGTTTTGTTTCTTCAATTGTATGCGCCATTTGCCATTCATATAAAGCTAATTTAGTACTTTGACTAATTGCATGACTGATGGTGAGTTTAATCATATGATTCCAAGATTTTAAAGTTATCATATCATTAAATATTCTAGGTCTTCTAAATGAATCAAAATCATATTGAAAATGAAATGTTTCACATTCAATATCTTCTTTTTTTAATTGACGAGCCATAACACCTGCAGCGGAAAGATCCCTTAAACATGAAATCTCTTGTTCTTCGGTGAGATTCCAAAATACCGCAACCCCATAATCAAAATAAAAAACTTCCCCAATATTAAATAAGGTAGTTTTTAATCTATTTTTTTTTATTCGTCTTCTTTCATCATCATCATCATCATCATCTCCTTCTATTCTTCCTCCTCCTCGTCCTCGTCCTCTTCCTCTTCCTTCTACTTCATCATCATCATCTTCATCAAAAATAAATTCAAATAAATCTTGACCATTTTCACAATTTTCTATTTGCCTTTCTACAAATGAATGTCCATTTATAGCTGATGATGATACAATATTTGAATTTCTTCCTGAATTTAAAGGAAAATGATATGGTGCATAAATACATTCAACATATCGTCTATATAAAAATAAATAAATAAATATATACAGATACATATATAATATATATAATATATATATATATATATATATATATATATGAATGTAAATATTAATTAAAACATTTAGTTAGAGAATTATAAAAAAAAAATATAGTAATAATAATAATTCGTACAATACTTTGGCTGAACATTATGTTCTCTTCTCAGGAAGTCCATTAGAACACCTAAATAATATCCTTCTGCTGTACAATAAGCCGTTACCCTTAAAATGATCATATATATTAATTATATTTATATTAATCACACAGATTAATATATTAATTATATAATATTTTATATTAATCACATATTATTTAATTAAATATATTATTAATTATTAAATAAATATATATATATATATATATATAAAATAAAATTACCTCGGATATTTTGCATCATCTCTAACTTCTTTTTGCATTCGTTCTGCGTCAGTCCGATCATTTTCTCTAAAACTTGGTATCGGTGATGATATTAAAGTGAACGTAGGAGTTACGGGAGTTAAAGGAGATTCAACCGCATGATCGGAAATTTCTTCAATTTCTTCTGGAAGTAATACTAATCTTTGTGAAGTTTTTGTGGTTCTTGATGGTGACATGGATTTTATGGGTTTTTTTATGGGTTTAGTATTGGGATTTTTCATTACCCCTCCTCTTATTACTTCATCCATTACTCCATTAAATGCGTTCCCTTCATTTCCCCCTCCTTTTACTTCACCCCCTAATCCATTTAATACACTTCCTAATAATATATCACCTTCTATTGTTGATATTACTCCAGGAACTAATGAAGAAGAGTACGAAGTTCTTTTTAATATTGTTTGAGGTGAACTAGTAGAACCAATTGTTTCTGGTTGTTGAAATCTAATTTTTGGTTTCCCGATATTATTATTATTATCATTATTTTTAGAATTACCTTCTTCAGACATTTTTATTTTACTTTAACTAAATTTTATTTTAATTAAATTGTTATCAAATTAAAATTTTAATTAAATTATTATCTAATTAAAATTTTAATTAATTTAATTTATTAATTTATTTATTTTTTTTTTTTTGATTTTATTATTTAATTATACATTTCTACAAAAAAAAAAAAAAAAGAAAAGAGAGAGAGATTGCGTTTTGTGATAAAAATTTTTTTTTTATCATTTTACATCATACATATATATACATATACATATTCATACATATTTACACATGTAATACAATTTAAAAATCCTGATTGTCTAAATTAATAAGTAAACTAAAATAGATTATAAATTATAAATCATAAATTTAATTATAAATCAAAAATAAACAAAAAAAAATCAACTTGATCCAGGAATAATTTCTCTAGCCACTATTATATCTTCATGACTTATGCTGGTTTGAAAGAATGTTGGTTGCTTCTTCACTTTTGGAACTTCAACTCTTTGAGGTAATAAACCAAAACAATAGGATACCAACCACAAAATACCAAATGCAACGAATAGCCACATACAAATGACATTGGCCAATCTGATTTTACAAGCGATTTCAACAATTTTCGTGGAATAATCGTATTTGGATGGACAATAATATGGAATCGGTCCTAATTCTCGATTGGTTAGAATTGTGTAGACGACTTTTTTCATATAGTAATATATTGTTGTACATATCGTTAGTATGTATATATATATTATTATATTGTTCATTGTTGTATGCAGTTTAATGCAGTACATTGAAGCATATCAAGTAATTATTGTGAGATAACGAAGTAAATAATGATTATATAATTAGATAAATTTATATTTACCCGCTATAATAATCCAAACGATAAGTCCGGTGCTTCAAAAAATATAATAATGGTAATGATATGATTTTTTTTTTTTTAGATTAACAAAATTCAAAAAAAAAAAAAAACTATAGATAAAATAATAATAATGATACTAATCGAGATAAATACAGAAATTCTTCCTTATTCATTTCTGCTAATTTAAGTATTCGACATTTCGTGAATATTAAAGATATTATTACTGTGACTGTTTTTTTTTTTTTTTTTGAAATAGAAATAATAATAATTATAATAATTATGAATATTTTTGAAGATTGATCTTACGATTGAGTAATTAGTTACATACATGGAAACAGGAAAGAAATTCCTAAATAACTAGATTTTTTTTTTTTTTAAAAAAAAAATCATTTTTAATAATTTCATAAAAAGTTTAGTGTTTTTTTTTAAAAAAATAATTTTTTTTTTACCAATATTCTATAATAACATTATTAAATTCAAGTTCATCGGGATATTTTTTGAAATACATAAATTTGAAAATCTCTAAAAATACAAATAAAAAAAAAAATCAATTAAAAGTAAATAATAATAATTAATTGATATTAATCTTAAATAATAATGAATCAAAAACAATTTACCAAGCGCGGGACAAATAAACATTAATAATAGTAAAGGAATTCCCAATATTCCAGCAACAAAGGATCCCATATTTTTTTTTTTTTTATTATAATATTTTTTTTAAAAAAATGAAAAAAAGATTATTATTATTATTATTATTATTATTATTCGTTATTTATTATTTGTTTTTGCTTTATTTATTCTACTTTTATACTTTTTTTTTTTCTTTATTTAAAAAAAAAAATTTATCGAATTTATTGAAAAAAGGGGAATTCATTAAGAATTCTTTTTTTTTGGTTTTTTTTTATTTATTATTTTCTTTATGTCACAGTATTATCATTATTATTATCATTATTATCATTATTTATTGTCATTGTCAAAATTCTTCATTATTCCAATATTAATTTTGTGGCGCAGTTGAATCCGTTTCTTTGTTTCCTTCTAGGCTTTGACGTGGCTTCCTATATAAAAAAAAAGATTAAAGTGTTGACTAAGCCATTATTAGTGTAAATTAAGACGCGAGATACATATAGAAGTATACATACACACGTTCTTAACCAAGCCATTGCGAATAAAGTAATATTTGTTTCGTTTGATTTTATTTTGGCTTGTGATAAAAGTTTTAACGAAAAAATATTTAAAAATGTTCAATTGTTGGAATAAACGAATAAACGATATATTATGGAAATTTAAAACAAAATTTTTTTTTTTTTTTTTTGACAAAAAGAAACAATTTGAGAATGAGAATTAATTAATGTCAAAGATAATGAAAAAAAATAAAATAATCGGTGTTTAAAATTAAATCAAGTATATAAATTAATAAACAAATTATTATATCAAATAAAATAATAATAAAAATCTGTATATTATGGAAAGCGATCATTTTTTTTTCTTTCGATACATTTTAACATTTAAAATTTTTTTTAACATTATTTTTATCTCAAAATTAAATGTTAAAAGAATTATTTTACTTTTTTTAACGAAGAAATTATGAATTATGAAAACGCGTTTCAAAAAAAATCTTACTCATGTGCAACATAACACATGAACATCCTTATTTGATCTAACTAGCCGATTATGTATAATCTACCTAAATGCATCCCATCCATCTATCTGAAAAAATCATTTGACATATAAAAAAAATCCTCCAAACTAATAAAAACGAACAATAACAAATATAAATAATTAATAATTAACTAAAACTTTTTAATCTTTTTTTTTTAATTTTTAATTTTTTTTTTTGGTTTTTATTTTAATAAGAAAAAAATGTCATCGCCGTCAGTTCGTTCAGAATTAGTACAATCGGCCGTAAACTTTCTCCAAAATCCACAAGTACAAAATTCTCCATTACAAAAACGAATAGCATTTTTAGAGTCAAAAGGTTTAACAGCTAATGAAATTGAAGAAGCCATAAAATTAGCAAAAGGTGGTAGTGGAGATGTTGGTAACATCTCTGTAACAGGAGGAGGGGGAGGAGGAGGAGGTCAGTTGCAACAAGTTCCAACATCTATGGGTAATATGCGTGTTGCCCCAGTTCCTCCAAGATTAGATTGGAGAGATTTCTTTGTTGCAGCTGTACTCATAGGTGGAATTAGTTATGCCATAGTTGAAATTGCAAAGGTATCTGTTATTTTATACATCAATTTTTATTTATATTAATTTATTTATTTATTTATTATTTATTATTTATTATTTATTTTTATTAATTATTATTATTACGATTGTTAAATAATTTCTAGAGATACATTCTGCCTCTCTTAAAAACTCCCACCGCAAAAGAATTAGAACGTGATAAACAATCACTCACAGATCAATTCACCATGACTTCCGAAACTTTGGATGTTGTTAAGGCAGACACGAAAAGTGTTAAAAAAATTATTGATGAACAATCATTAAAAGTCAGAGAATCATTAGAAAGATTAGATAATACATTAAAAGATTTGGAAATTCAAGAAGGAAAAAGAGATACGGAGATCAAAACTTTAAAGGAAGAAATTGATACAATTCGAGATTTGATTCCAAAGGTATTTTATATATATATATATATTTATTTAAGCATTATATTTATATTATATTTGTATTTTTTATTTATTTATTTATATTAATTATTTATTAATTATCATAAAATTATATTAATTATTTATATTTAATTATTTATATTAATTAAATTAATTAAATTATTTATATTTAATTATATTTAATTATATTTAATTATATTTAATTATATTAATTAGTTGCTTGAAAAGACTAAAGAATCTCAAGCTCAATCTTTAGCCGACTTACAAAATGAACTTAAATCATTAAAATCTCTTATCGCTAATCGACGTTTTAATACATCCATATCACCAGTTAATGATGCATTAACAAATTCATCATCTACCTTACCACCTTCTTCTCCTACCGTAAATAATAATAATAATATCTCATCATCAACAAAATCTCCACCTCCTAATACTAATCTCACCACTGCATCTACGATATCTTCTACGATACCTTCGATCTCATCAATTTCAAGTGCATCCGGTCGTTCAGGAATTCCTCCTTGGCAATTGGGTACGAACACATCGTCATCATCCACCGGGACGGTGGTAGAACAAAGTGACACAACTCCAAATGATCAAAATTTAACCTTTAACAATAATAATAATAATAACAATAATAATAATAATAATAATAATAATGTTACAACAAATGGTTCTTAATAATAATGTTATACAAGTAATAAGTTTATTATTGTTATTATCGTTCGTTCGTTCGTTTTGTATTTGTAAAAATTCATTGTAAAATTTTTCATCAGTCATAAAAAAAAAATGGAAAATGGGTTTACTGTAATATATATATTATTATATAATTTTTTATTTATTTCTTTATTTGGACTTTGTGTTAAAAAAAAAAAATTGGTGTTATTGTTTTTTTTTTTTTTTGTTTGTTTATTCCGTGTTGTTGATTTGATTATTTTTTTTTTCTCAATTTATTTCCGATCCACAACATTATTCCATCCATATCCCTTATTGTTTAGGTGGTCTTTTTAGGTATTTTGTTGTTAAGGCCCGTGCTGAACCTGAACCATCATCGTCATCGTCATCACCATTCGAAGAAGATAAAGATTAAGGACAAACTTGTCTTTATATTTATTTATTTATTTATTTGCAAATTGTGAGTGAATGAAAAAAAAAAAGGACTTTGTCAATACTCGAATATCATAAAGCATTTCGATTAATTTTTTTTTTGCGTTCAGTCTTTCGATATTTTTTTTTTGTTGTAACGTTCAAAACATTCGATTTGATCAATGTGAGTGATTTGGTAATATATTTTAATATTCACCTTTTATCTTTTGTTATATGAGTCAATCAAATAATAATAATAATCATCATCATCATCACCATAATCATAATTAGAACATTATAAGAGTTATAATTATTAGAGTATTATTAATTTCAAAAAAATTAATTAATTAACACTAAATTAATTAAATTAATTAAACAATTATTATAAATGTACAATAGTTTTTGGATTAAAAATAATGAATTAGATTAATAATTGTTGTTCGTCGTCGTAATAAAACTTTTTTTAAAATTAAATTATTATATATTTTATATAAAAATAGAAATAGAGATAATATTAATGATCTGAGATATATATAATAAATAATAATATAATTAAAAAAAAAAAAAATCAAAAGTTAAATTACAATTTTGTTTTTATTTCAAAATTGTTGTATATATTAAAAGTTAAAAAAAATATATATTAAAAGCTGAAAATTTTTAATTTTTTTTCTTCAAATATAAATATATATATATATATACATACACAACTTGTGATGAATGTATATAATAATATATATATATATATAATGGTAAATATCAAAAAAAAAAAAGGTAACATAATAAAATGAATGAAAAGAAAAAAAAAATGAATATTTAATGTTATATATATATAAAAAAAAAAAGTAAAAAAAAAGTAATAATTGTTAAAGAAAAAAAAAAATGATCCAAAAAAAAATAATAATAATAAAAATAAATATATAAAGAAAAAAAATTAATAATTGTATTATTACAAAAAAAAAAAAGGGTCCAAAATGAACATCAAAATTATTTTTCTCAAATTATTATTAAAAAAAAGTAAATTGAGTAAAAAAAATTCAAAAATAATTAAAGAATGTAAAATTATGGAAATTCGTGTGAGAGAGAGAGAGAGAGAAAAAAAACGGAGAAATATTATGTTTTCAGTTATGGCATCATGCCTCCACTTGTACCAATAGTTAAATAACCACCTTTTCCTTTTAGATCTAATTTATCAAGAAGGGTGTGATACAAAAATTTATAAGCCCAAAGGTTACCCTTCATCCTTTTAATATCCACGATATAAATTCCCGGTAAATTCTTAATTCGACATAATTCCACCGCGAATCTAATCTCCTCTCCAGAATCTATAGATGGATCACCATATAAAATTTCGGGAGCAAAAGCACTTATTGATGATGATGATGATGATGATGTATTATTATGAGTATTAATAAGATTATTATTATTATTATTATTATTTGGTGTTAATGTCATGATTGGACCCAAAGTTGGACTATTCGGTGTAGAGTTTGATCCGTTATTATTATTATGATAATTATTATGATTATTGTTGTTATTATGATGATTATTATGATTGTGATTATTATTATTATTATTATTATTATTTTCTATACAATTATTATTACTATTATTATTATTATTAATTGTTTCATTCGTCAAATTATTTAAATTTTGAGGGGAAGTTATAGAACTTGAACGACGTAATAACATTTTTAATGGACCAGATGAATATTTCTTTCGTTTTTTCTCTGCCAAAATATCTACAACCGTATCAGAATTTTCTAATATTGTCAAAGTGTCTTTGGTTTTTTGAATTCTGTTATTATTATTATTATTATTACTAATACTATTATTATAATTATTATTATTATAATTATTATTACTATAATTATTATTATAGTGATTATTATAATTATTATCTCTATCTCTTAATGATGGTGAAATTTTACCATTTTCGATGATTCTTCGTTTTCTTCTAACACATCGAACTTTAAATTCACCTTCACGCTTTATTTCAATTCCCATACTAACTAAAGTTTGCTTTACTACAATAAAAACTTCATAAGGTGGTCTCGAAGTTAAAGCCAGTTGATCAACAGCTCCATGATGCATGCGAAGTTTTAATTCCACATTATTATTATTTGTGATGGTCATAGTCGATAATCGTGAGGAAGATTGAGATGAATTATTATTATTTGTATTATTATTATTTGTATTATTATTATTATTATTATTATTATTATTATTATTACTAGGTTGAGTAATAATTACGGAAGGATTATTCCTTTGTCTCTTTGACTTATTCTTAGGTCTTTGAATATTGAATTCTTCTTCAATTTTGGAAGATACTGGTTGAACTAATACTGGTGTATCTTGTTTTGCTATAAATTAAAAAATCAATAATAATATAAATAAATAAAAATGATATAAATAAAAATGATATAAATAAAAATAATAATTTTCTTTACCTAAAGATTTTCTTCTGAACCAATCCATAACTTTCTTGGCGGCATTCGAACTTCCGGTTGAAGTACTACCTAAAAGTTTTCTTTTATCTTTATTTGTTACATTACTACTTGTCACGACACTATGCGTGGAGTGAGCAGCGGGTCCTTTAAATGATTCAACCATTTCACTAATGGTCTTTCTTTTACTATTATTCCTCTTTTTCCTTTCATTAATATTAATATTAAGATTAAGATTATTTTCTATATCCGATGTAGTATCAACATTTTGTGGTGACGATAATTTATTATTATTATTATTATTACTATTTAAATTATTATTATTATTATTATTATTATTACTATTCAAATTATTATTATTATTATTATTACTTTTATTATTTTTAATTTTATTTTTAACATCATTAATAATATTATTATTATTATTGTTACTTGATTGATTTCGTTTTTGTACTACGGTTGATGCAAGTGATGACGATGATGATGAAGTTACTGTATTGGTAGTATTATTATCAGTATTAATGGTTACTAATGATTCACGACGATCGGGAATTGGTGGTAAAGGTATCGAAGGTGGTGGCATATTTAAAAGAGATGAAGTGAGTTGAATACTATCAATACGTTGATTATTATTATTATTATGCAATGATGATGATGATGGTGAATATTTTTGTTGTGGTGGTTGTTTGGATGTGGAAATAAAATCTTTTGAACTTGATGGTGGTCCATGAACTGTTATAGGTCTTGTACGATCTCGTTTTTTGGAATTTTGTGATTCTGAATTATTATTATTATTATTTGAATTCTTCTTATTTAATGAACTATTATTTGTGGTTGACTTATTTTTATTTTTATTATTTGTGTCATTATTATTATTATTATTATTTGGTGGTGGTAAAACTAAATTACTATGTACATTATTAATCTGATTTTTTTCGGGATTAACATTACTTGCTCCATTTTCATGAAGAGTAAGAAGATTAGATCCAATATTCGTCGAATTTTTATAATGTGAAGAAGAAGAAGAACTAATTTTATCTAAAGAATTTCCAGAAATGGTTGAAGATGTACTATGATGTTTTTTTACATTAGGTAGATTCAAATTTTGGGAATCAAAATTTTGGGTTGAAGTTGAATCAAAATTTTGTGATATTTCATTATCATAATCATTTAATGATATTTCATCCTTTTCTTCAGTTAATATATTATCGGATGTAACTGCAGGTACCAAACTTGGTCCAAGTCGAGTTCCATCAACGAATTGAAAATCTTCATCTGGATAATCAATATATCCTGCTGTATTATCGGGTTGTTCATATTCAACTTGAATTGTATGTCTTTTAACAGTAGTTGCAGTTCTTGGTCCCATATCACTTTGTTGTTCTCCAATATAATCAGTGGTTAAATAATTATTTGATGAACTTCCAACTGGAATATATGTTTCAGGTGGGGTTAATAATGGTATTGGATTTGCAGCCGCCTAATGAATAATAATATTAATAATAATAATAATAGTAGTAATAATAATAATAATAATAATAATAATAATAATATATATATATATATATTTTATGAATAAATTAATCACCTCAAGTTCCCGAATTGTACAATCAAAAATTGATGCATATTGAGCTATCCATCTATTACGAAAATAATTATAATTTTTTTAATAAAAAAATTATATATATAAAAGAGAGTATAAAATATTTTTTTTTTACCTATGAGACATTATTGTCTGCATATCACATCTTTTTGTTGGATCCGGAACTAACATCTTTCTTAATAAATCTCGGGCATCCGAACTTACATATTCCGGGAATACCAATGGAGTATTAATAATATATTTATAAAGTAAATTAATGTTATCACCTTCAGGGTTTTGTGGATCATCATCAAATGGAAGATATCCTGATAACATGGCATACTATTAAGTAAAGATTATAATTACAGTAAAATAATAATAATAATAATAATAATAATAAATAAATAAATAAAATAAAATAAAATCATAAAATTAAATAATAATAAAATAATTGAATAAAATAAAATAATAAAATAATAAAATAAAATAAAATAAAATAAATAATCAAATAAAATAATCAAATAATAATAAATTTACCAAAATGACACCACAACTCCAAATATCCACAGCACTTCCTACGTAAAGCCCTTCGCTAATTACCAATTCCGGTGCAGCATAACATGGACTTCCACATGAAGTTGCCATTAAATCATCATGAACACCATTAAATTGATTTGCGAATCCAAAATCTGTAATAATAATATTTCGGTTTCGATCTAATAAAAGATTTTCCTATAATTAAAAAAAATGGAAAATATAATATTAACATATTTACGATATTTACGACGGCGACAGCGATAAATTTTAATAACTCACAAGTTTAAGATCCCGGTGTACAATATTTTTTTGATGTAAATAATTGACTCCACTAATAAGTTGTGCGAAAAGCTTGCATGCATCTCGTTCTTTTAAATAACGATGTGCTAATATATGATCAAAAAGTTCGCCTCCTGTGAAGAATTAATTGAAAAAAATAAAAAATTAATTAACTTGAAATGTTAAAATTAATTAAATGTTTTAAATTTATAATTTACCCGAGGCATATTCCATAATAATACCAATATATCGATCTGTCTCGAATACGTCAAATAGTTTGACAATATTTGGATGCATTACACTCTATATAGATAGATATATATGTGTATATAGATTAGATAATTATAGATTAATAATAATATATTAATAATTTAAAATATATAAAAATATATTAATAATTCAAAAAATATAATTATAGTGTTAAAAAAAAAAATTAATACCCGTAACACTCCTATTTCCCTCTCTATCTTCGTAAGTCGAGAAGGTGTATCTACTGATTCTTTACGTATTAACTTAATCGCGACCTTTAATTAATTAATTATTAGTTATTAATTATAATTATTATTATTATTATTATATTATTATTAACTATAAATATAATTATTTATTATTTATTAACTATTGTTATTTAATATTAATATTTTATATATTTATTATTGATATCGTTATTCCTTTTTTTTTTTTTTACCTCTTCGCCAGTATCAACGTGCATTCCAAGTTTAACTTTACCAAATTCACCTTCTCCCAAAGTTTGTAATAAAAGGTAAGGTCCAAACATATTACCTCTTCTTACTGAACTTTGAGGAATTTGAGGATGGTGGTGGTGGTGTTGTTGTTGTGGAATTTCTGAATATCTTGGAAAATTCATAGGTACTGGTGTCGAAATCGGACGATTCCTGGCTGATTGATTTTGAACGTGTTGATGTTGTGGAAGCTGTGGCATGGCTTGTTGTGAACTTAGATGAATTGTTGTCGCCATATTATGTGAATTTTATGTTTTATGAAGGTTTTTCGATTGTTATTTATCAACCGTTAAAGTCAAAGATAGATGTTGAAAAGAAAAAAAAAAAAAAAAAAAAAAAAAAAAAAAAGAAAGATTTAATTAAAAAAAAAAAAACCAAGTTTGGTTTTAATATTATTTATAACTTTCCGAAATTATTTTTTTATTATTATTGTTATTGTTATTATTATTATATTATTTATTATTTATTATTATATTATTATTATTAAAAGGTTGTGTTGGTGGTTTTGAAAGAATGATTTTATGTATATAATGTGTTTGGAAGTATATATAACTTTGGGCTTTTGGCCCGAAAAGAAAAGAAAAAAAGAGTGCGGGAACGATAATAAAAAACTTAACGAAGGAAAGTGACCAATAAATTAGGGGTTCCTTTTCGAAAAAAAAAACCTGGTAAAGATAAGATAATTTGTTTATTATTATTGTTCTGGTGAGTTAGTTACTTGATTTTTGGTGGTGAGTTGAAAGTAACATAAAAGGGGGGACTTGGTTTAACGATGTTTCACTAACCACACAAACAAGATTTTGGCAAAAATAAGAATCCAAATGCATAAATCCTATTACTACTAAAATATTACTAGTTCATGATATGTTGAGTTATGTTACTATATATTCTTTACATTCTTTACATTTTCTTTTATTTTACATTATTTTTTTTTTTTACATTTTATTTTTATTTTTTTACATTGTACATATTGTATTAATTCGTTGGATATTAGAGATTTTCATAATATTTTTAAATATTTTATATATTTTTTGGGACAGATTTACTATTGTTGTACAAAAATTTATAAAGTTGTTCATTATTTTATAAATAATAAAAAATAATAAAAATAATAATAATAATAATAATAAAATATTTATTTTTCAATAATCACATCACACAAATGACCAATAATATAAATCAAAAAGAAATTTCCAGTTTATTTTATTATTATTATTATTATTTTAATTTGTGTAATTTCATTTTTATTTTTAAGGATCCTTTGTTGCTTGGATGATAATAATAATAAAAATATTAAAAGAAATCTTTATAGATTTCAAATTCTCGAATGAAAAATTCTTGAAAAAGATATATAGAAGTTACTTTTTTAGGTAGTTAATATTACTATTATTATTCGATTCAATTTATTCAATGAATATAAAGATATCATTTGGTTAAACAATTGAATTTACTTAAAGAAACTTGAAATGAGAAACACTCGCTTTTATTATTAATTAATTAGACTTGATACATACTAAATATAAGAAAATAGAATATTCTGTATTACTAAACTTATATATAGATGAACAAAGGATCATGTCAGAATCTTACTTATTATTTTTTATTTCTCTTTACCGTGACTCAAGGGATTTGTTTCAATAAATAAAATACCAATTACAATTAGATATATTTCACAAAATATTTCACCTATATCACCTAAAATCACCTAAATATATGAAATTGGAATAGAATAAATATTTTAATAATAAATAATGTAAAATTATATTTTATTTAAACTTTTAAATAAAATAAAATAAAATAAAATAAATTATCATATCGATAATTTACGGGGAGAATTATAATATTTTATATATTTTATTGATTTTTAAAGTAAAAAGGACCAGGTAGGAAACAAAAATATTATTAAAGTGGTTTGAGGAAGCGTCAATGAAGATTTAGAATCGAAGCAATCTCTCAATATTTTTATGTTCAAAATAATCATCCAATTCTCACGATAATAATAATAATAATAATAATAATAATTTAAGAGTATCCAAAAAAAAAAGAATTTAGACAAAAAAAGTAGAACAATGTGCGCTTTGTTAAGCCCACCTTCTTTTAAAGATCGTCATTTTATTTGTATGTAATAAATGGATTTCACCTATAGAGTTTTTAGAAGGAAAATGAAAATACATATATATTAAAATTATATTTTTTTTGTTATATAAAGATTCATTCAAACATTATTTCAAGTTAAAAATAATTTGTTATATGAAAATTTAATATTTATAGTTATTATTATAATAATAGGAAGATTTTTTTCATTTGAGTTGCATCTAACCATAAACTTGGATTCTAGGTATTCCGTTTCATTTAATATAACCTAAAATTGGCTAGTTGAAAATCTTTTTATACTCTATATCTTTATACAAAAAAAATTTGGTATAACTCTTATACCTAATTCTGAAAATTGCCTTAAAAAAATATATCTAACATTTTCATCTTAAAAATGAAGAAAAATGTTAATTTTCTCCATAAAAAACCTTTTACAGCAATCTTTTTTTTTACTTCTCCAATTTCATGAAGATATTCATAAGAAATAAAATTACTAGCAGACATATCCTATTAGTAATAATAATCATTCTTTTAGAATCCCAAGGCAATTTGGATATTTTTTTTTTTTGAATATTATTATAATCAATAATATGTTTCTATTACCTCTTTAAATTTAATAGATCCTATAAAATCATTAAAAGGATCATTAGGTTGGGTTTAATATGAGATTTAAAAAATTAAATTCACTAATGTTATCATAACCTTCAGAATAATAAATTGCTTGTTTCATTAATGGAGGAGGTTCAACTTATATGTCAACAGGAAAGGTGGGAGGAATGATTTAGAAAATGGAAGAGAGAATTAAAAAAAAAAATAAATAAATAAATAACAGAACCAAGATATCACCAGGATAAATCAAAGAACAAGCCAAAGCTATAAAATATTTAAATAAAAATGAATTATATTACATATTGATAAAATAATAATAAAAATAATAATAATAACCTTTACCTTCTTTATTCCTTTATATAAAAATATCTTAAATCTTCTTGATAATATGAATCTTGATCTGGTATAATAACACCATATCGAACATCACGTATCATGTACCAAAAAGTGACATGATCTAAACCTCTTATTTGATTGGTGTGTTGAATACATTGAATAATTTATTTTTGGATAGAATGAGTTTGTTTTCCAGACACTACGGAAGGAATGGAACACAAAATTATTGACATATTCATGATCACGTGAAAATACAGCTTTCAATTTTTGAATATTTTTAAAACGTTGAGTAAAGTAAGCACGTAAACCTTTTGATGACTTTAATATAAATGACTACAACGGTAACAAATAAATTAAGCAATTTATTATAAATAAGCATTATATCTGATTTCCATTATTATTGATTACCAAATATAGATATTAGTTGTTGAAAAAATTTTAAATTTAAATTGATTATACGGAAATCACGGAGTTTTCTATAAATTTTTTTCTTTCTATCAATCTAAATGAGAAATATAAAATAATAAAAAAATAAATTAATAAATAAAAAACATTAATTAATCTCTCATCTAATAAAGAACCAACCGTAAAATCGAAATCCGTACTATTCAATTCCTTTTTTAGATCCGTTGGATCAAAACGTAAATCAAAAGATTTGATTTTAGTGTTTCAATTAATAATTTAATTTTTTTTTTTTAATAATCAAATAATATATAATTCCTAATAATTTTTATTTAACTTTCATATGGAAAACTTCATTATATGCGTGATTTGGATTACCAAGAAGTGGAACGCATGAATCATTAATAGGAACGGAAATTACAGAAGGGAAAAAAAAGAAAGAAAGAGCAATTAGAGAATATCTATTATCGTTCATGTTTATATTTTATGATTATATTTGATATCTATTGTTTTTATTATGTTATTGAATTATAAATTATTATCAAAGCGCTGTGAGAGTAGAGCACTGAAATAATGAAGCAATAAAAGTTGTGATTTATATACTCTTCTACGCACGTATACTAACATTTTAACTAACATTTTGAATGCTCTTAATTTATTAGTATTTCAATCCTATTATAGTATGACCGAAATTTACCGAAATTTACATTTTATGAACAAAGAGAAAAAGCATTATTATACCGTACCATAATTAGATTTGGCTTTTGATAAATTAACTAGAATAATAGTCTTAGAAAAAATATTATTAAAAAAAAGAAGATAAGAAGAAGAAAATTATTTTAATTTAAAACTCTAAAAAAATTTTTCAATTACGAAGGATAAATTTATAATCAAAAAAAAAAAGGAGTTGTTACGATCGAAATCATACCCTTTTACTGAATATAATTCCGAACGATTTGATCGATTTGGCTCCTTAATTGACTTAATTGACCTCACAATTAATTTTAAACAAAATAAAGTTATTTATTTCGGTTAATATTTATTAATATTCATTAATTTATTTGGATTTTTTTTTTGTATGTTTAAAATCAATTCAAATCAATTCAAAGAATGCAATGAGATGAGATTTTATGTGCGAATATGACATGATAAAGTGTTATAAGGTGTTTAACTTCAGAAAGGAGAATATTCTTTTCTCAATTTCCTTTTGATACGTTAAAATTTAATTCTCTTCTTTATTTGTTCAATAATGTTTACGATATTTATAATAGACGTTTAACCAAATAATCTACAATATATTAAAATGTTTTTAAATGTTATCTAGACTAATTAAAATTAAATATATGTATATAAAGTATACACCTAATTGACTCCGGAAATATTTTTTTTTTTAGAAAGAAAAAAAATGATTGATTAAAAAAAAATTACGCAAAAATAAATTGTTTCCGAAGATCGATTCCACGAGGCAAAGTATATATATGCGCGAAACAACCAAGTGAGATATTAATTTTTCGTACGTAATATGCTTTGATCGACATAATGCTCTGATCTATAAATTTAGTAAAAAAAAACGGTGACAATTTTTTAATGGAGGACCCATCACAGAGGATAAAATATTTGTTAATATGGATTTTCACAGGTGAGAACTGGATTAGAAGTCAATTCTTGGATACACATAATGTTTACATTATCATGTTATCGATGTTTGCCAGATTAAATAATTATTTATTTATTTCTTGTTCAAACCATAACTATTGAAATCAAGATTTCGTCTAACTTAGCGAGTTAATCAAGTATTTATTTTAATTTGTATAATCTTATATTTAAATATGTAAAGTTCATTGTGATGATTATATTATATAATGTTCATCCAATTACATTTATATATATATATATATGTCTTTTACACTTTTGGTTAAAGGATCATGATTAACACTATTCCTGCCCGAATAGAAGACTTATTGGTATTCATGAGTATTATATCAATCAAGATAACCATGATTATCCACAAAATTATAAGGATAATCATAATCATCTAAATAACTATAGCGTTTTTTCTTTGGTTGATTGATTACAGTAAGAGATTCTGGCGGGATTAACGATTTACCAGAGTGAAAGTAAAATTTTGGCATTGAAGAAATTTCTTCACCTTTGTCAAAATGCCAATGTGTAGTTAAAATCTTTAAATTTTTCGATGGTTTTGAGCGATGAGTTTCATACCCTGTACCAAAAATTTTAATGACTTGAGGTGGAGGAGTTGTAATTGCAAATTCGATCAAATTTGAACAATTATTTAACCAACTCCAATCACACCCGGAAAAGTTCCATTTCACAAGTTCAAGTCGTTGAAAATATTCGAGATAGGATTGAAATGCTTTGATAAGCATATTCCCGGGTCCGTTTGGAAATACCAACCGAAGATTCAAAAATCGTTTCTGGGCAGAGATGATTTCCTCAAGATAATTGATCGATTCTCTAGCACGTTCATCCGAGGTATCGTGAAGATTGATATCAAGATAGGACTAGAGGAAGCAATTTAAAATATTAAAAATTTACCTTGAGTGATGGTAATGTATTTAAAGATATTATTTGTAGCCAATATCAATATCAAAGAAAAAAAATAGTTTTTTTTTGAAACGACCGTTTGAGTGCAAGCATACCAGTCTCTTGCAATTTTTTGCTAATGACTTTATGACATTACTTTTTGGAAAAGGGGTATGTATTTTGACATTAATAAGGGTACTGAACATTGGGGCATAGCGTGGTGCTGTCCAAAATGTATAAGTAATTTCGTCACTTGTACCAGTATTCTCCATAATAAAAGTTTCCAGACGAATTTCACGGTCTGTTAACATTTGAAGTATTGATTCAACTGTTTTGATTCTTTCATATGCTCCTTTACAGACCAATAAATTCGTATAATTGAGTTCTTTGATAAATGATGGATAATCGAAAAATGGTAGAACCTTTTGAGCTTTACCCTGAGCGGACGTACTGCTTCCCTGTTCAAGAAACATTTCATAAATCTTTAGTGCAGTCATACTCCTTTTCTTGGTAAAACTAAATGGAGCTTTCCAGTAAATTGGAATGGCCGCTCGACACCATTCTCGGTTAACTAGAAGAACCGAATGTATATCACTGAATTCCAAATCCTTGAGAATAATTCTAAAAACATCCACCGCCATCAAATGAATGCTAGGTAGAAAGTTTAATCAGATAAGGTATGGCATATTGCAATATGGTACTAACGTGGCAAATCAGCCAATCAAATAATGGGATGTATCTTCACTGTGTAACTCTGAGTTAATTGTCCGGAGCATAGCTGAGGAGAGTTTCCGCTCATCTGATGAGTCGACACTTTTAGTAACCAATAAAATTAGCAAGATTCTGATCTCATGTGATGTGACACTAAACAAATTAACCAATAAGATTCAATACAATTATTGCTCTGGGCATGCATATTAACCTTTCTGCTCTCAATACAAATGTCTGAAAGCATAAACCACGAATATTTTAATAGAAAATGCTCTGAATGGAGTATTACAGGGTTCCTAATGAATGTAATAAAGAACCGTTCCGATTAAAAATAGATGACTATCTAAAAAGTCTACAGGTCGTGATTAACAATGATCAGTGAAAACGACGCGAAAAAGCGTAACAACTATATAATAGATATAAAAAAGCAAGTATTTTTTTTTTGTTTTCAAATGTTGAGAAATAAAGTGGCGTGAAAAGAACCTATTAGCTCCTTCACCATTCAAGTCTATTAGTCGAGCCACAAAACCAATGTAAGGGCACAAGCAACCTATTAGCTTGCTTGATGTTCAAGCCTATTAGCCGACCTTGCATTGGACCATCTGATACAGGCGACCTACTAGCTTGGCTGATGTTCGGATGGGAGATCCAAATGTATTAGTTGAATGCTAATTTTCCATATTTCTGTTAAAGAATCCACAACCTAATCGCAAAATTGCAAACAGGATCGTTCTCATAAGAATACACATCTCCACAAGTCAAAATTTATAAACTGTGAAGCCAGCAATGGTGGGACTGTTTACAATGGCGGGGCAATAACTATTGATAATTCTGTTTTACCAAAAAAAAAAAGAAATTTGGAAAAGGATGGGGGTAAATTCCTATACATGATTAATTATATACCTAAAAGATGCTTCATTAATCAGAAATATATGACTTTACATAAAAAGGAGAGAATTCGAAAAAATGAGATCTCAGACCTCGGCAGACAATGACATACACAAACTACAATTGCTTCATTAAGAGAATTAAATACCAAGCTTACAGTCGAGATCAAAGAGTTTGGAAAGAAGTTTGCTAAAGTTGAGTCTGAGAATATCGAGCTTAAAGCTGAAAATATAAAAGTTAAGACTGAAAATACGGAGATTAAAGCTGATACCTCCGGAACCGTTTTACCATCCAAGCGTACCAATATTTTCGAAGAAGATTCGTCTAAAAAAAGCTTCCAAATAAAACAAAAGACAGATAATAGAGAGGATTCACCTATTCTTAAGAAACTTATCAAAGAACTCCAGAGCACCAATTCCTCCCCGCAAAGCGAAACGAACCCTTGTTAACTCATGTATCCTCTTCTACGGATAACTATAATATTTTACAACTATATAACCCGAATTATTAGTACAGAAATCCAAAATCCTCGTCTATAATATCCTGAAAGAAGCGAGTGAAAGTATCAACCAAAATGTTGACGTTGCGGAACTGCCACCGTGTTCTGAATGCGATAAAGAAATTTTTGCAATTACTTTCGAACCATTAAATATCCTGACGTGTGGACATGTATATCATAGATATTATATCGCGAAAAAAAATTTATTTACAGAAGAGAATAAATGTCCTTCTGGATGTGGTAAAGTTATCGAACCCGCGTTCCCTGCTAAACGAGAATTTTCACAGCAATCATCACAGTCAAGTACCTTATCAATGATTAGGAAGATGAGTAATCAACTTCAGATAAATTCACTGGTAATTCAAGAAAATGAGGAAATGGAGGATGCTATCAGTAATAAGCGGGCTAATGAAACTACAGGTGAATCTACAGAAAATACTTCCAGCAAAAAACTAAGAAACGGGTTAAGGATGAGGATTCTTACATATTAAAAAGGCTTAGCCGGGAGTTATCTTTCAAATTTCTGAAATTGGGAAAAAGAAAGGTCTCCATAGAGAATTCATACATTAGTGAGGATGCTTCCGTATCTGAGAATGCTCGAACTTTTTTCGATTTATTTATTTCCTCACGCTATTATTGTATTAATAAAACAATCCTGTACTAATTTAATTACATATGCTTCACAAAAAAATTTTATACTATATTTGAAAATAAAAAACGAACAATACTATTTACTTTTACTTTAGCAATAAGATTAAATGCAGGAGTAAACTTCATTTATTTAATTTGTATTTATAAAAAGTGTAAACCATGAGTTATCGAAATCGTAAAAATGAAATTTCAGAGTCTCACATGATCACAATTTTTTAACTTGTTCACATATTAGCATCTAAAGCGGCTTGCTGGATCCAGTACAAGTCAATAATAAACTCGTTACCAATTATATCTGTCGGGGTTACTGGAACATATCCAAATGGGATAGGATACGGTGGGTCCCAGAATACTTCACATATAGGAATTGTGATCTGAAAAGCTGGCAAGTTTGGTGCGTTGCAATCAGCAGGATCATTGATTGGATCCCTTGAATGTTTTTTAGCATTCCCAAAATCCCACCGTTGTATTGCCATTCCTTGACGGTAAAGTTTTGCCTAACATTTTAAAAACAGACTAATCAGATATGAAAATATGCAATGCTTGACTTGGTATCATTGAATAACAAGATATACCGTCATTGTCCTAAAATAATATCCAGTTCCAGGTTCTCGCACACCTGGTCTTGGACCTGAAATCTTGATACTGATGACAGCACGAACGTATTGTTCTCGCATCCAAGATAAACACTTCGTCTCAATTCACCAACACTTTGGCCCACGGCTACCTCACATATTATCCGAGCATGAGGATTTCCCTACATAAACACAATAATGAAAATCACATATAAAACAAAATACAATAATACACATTAAACTCAACATACATCTCCATCACTGGGAGGGCGAGGAGGTACTACGGTAGAAGGTCTTGGAACAATCCTTTTACTTGTACAGCCGCATCAGCTATTTCGACTCCACTTCCACCAGGCTCATTATGAACTATATGAAAAGACTATAAGAATATTGAAAACTCAATAACAAGAAGCAAACTAGAATAGATTCTCTTACTAGGTTGTCCAGTGACTACTATGAGAGGATCGTCAACAACTCCACCATTAGAAGATTTGAAAAATTCTTAAAGCCGTCTAACAACATCCTCATGTCTGGCTGAAGCAATATCAATTATATACACGTTGCCAGTTTTATTGTCGTTGTTTAAATAGAACTGGAATTTGTATCCAGATGACCCGTGATTGTGAAGGAAGGTGTTATAATTTTTGATCGTTATTTTCGAGCCAATTAGGAAAGGCAACCTGCATTCCATACAAACATTAGGTGGTACCTAAGTAATAAAGTAATACACTCATACACCCACCTGCTCTCTGCCAACCGCTTTTTTGGTAATTTTGGATAATTGTGTAAAAGTTCGTCAACTCTATCCAAAATCCTTGCCCACCAAATATCGTCTGAAGTACGTGCACGAGACATTTTTAAGAGAAAGAGAAATAATGATTAATTTATTAATTTAGCATCATTTATGTGGATCTGGTATGATATAACATTTTTGCATGTCACGTTTTTTTTTCCGTAGCATTATTAGTCCCCAAAATTTTTGCGTTAAATAATTTTGGGATGTATCTGTTTTACGGCAAATATGTTTCGCGTAGGTTCAACGTTTATCATGTGTCATTGCACACGTACTCCCAACGACAACCCTCAGCGTGAGCTCGGAGTCCTCGACATACTTCACCAATATTTGACCGATTAATTCCAGTTGTACGTTATGGATGAAAATTCTCGAGTAGAACCATCTGCCTGATAGGACGTTGATATTTATTGCTATCTTGAAGTTACGAAGCCCGAGACGTACGGCGTGTTGCATATTTTCTTTTTGTGTGCACCATTCAAGATTGTTAGTAGGGTCCATCAATATGATTTACATATTCTTTCCTTCTTTGGATAAAAAGCTAACGCCACCAAGCGATGAACAAGATATCCTTCTCAAGCGATTTTTCGATACCAATATGTAATGAACCTTGGGTGATTACACCATTTGTTAACTGAATTCTTCCAAGAGATGAAACTCTGAATTTTCGTGAATCAAGCTCTCCATTCTTCATTGGGATCGGGTTCTATGTGATCTTCATTATTCTCTGGATTAGGAATAATGTTCGCGCAACTAAAATATGAACAGCGGTACTTTTATAAACACCATTAATTTTTAATCCTATTCGTGTATAGCCTTTTATTTTGCAAGGATTTCGCTTAAATAACATACCTCTTTTGTTCTTGACTCGTTTGAGGCTGGAAACTAGTAAGTCTGTGGCAGTTTCTACTGGTAACCAAACTTCAATTATGATTGTTTGTTATTTATCATCATATCTACTTTTTAAATTAGATCGCAAAGCTCGAAAGATTTATGATCTTTTTTTCGTATTAGCGATGATAAAGATAAACGGATGATATACATTCAACGAATCAAACCATTTTCCGGCAACACTTAAGTTAGGATAATATGCAATCGTAAAATTCAGCCATAATGGCGCGTTCCCAAATTTGGTACTTTTTTATATATGCAGTAACAAATGCGTGCCGATCAGCGATCAACTCATGGCAAAAAATCTATGAGGCACACAAGTTTTATTTTGTTTTATGGTTAGCCCACTATTATGCAATAAAGTTTATCTACAATTTATAAATTTATTTTTGTATCAAGTTTGTAAACTGTCATTTAAAAATTTTTTATTTTATCGTGACATTAAATTTTGATGTGCCGATCAACAATCAATTTTATTGCATTAATGTAATTCGTAACATTATTAAACAAATAATTACTTGCTTTGCAGTAACAATATGATTATACAATTATGTTTTCACTGCTATATTTTTATCTGGGAATTTAAGCGTATTATTCCGAGGTAAAGGTAATGTGAAGCAAACTTTTGAATCAATTCTGCATTTTCAGAATATGTTTCTAATATCTCGTTGAGTGGAATCTCTGGCTCTTTGATTTTCATTACGAAAAGTTAAAAACGAATTGATAACGCAGATAGAAATTAATAAACAGGTTAGAAATCTGCTTCCTAGTGACGTAAAGGAAGATGCTTTTAAGAAAAAAGCCCGAAAATTTATTTCTTTTTAGTCAAGAACATAACGGAATTGATAAGATAAATCGAATCAAATTTTTTTCAGTATCAGTAATTTAAGTGCGGATGATATTAAGTATGTAATAAATAAAACTAAACCGCGAAACGTATAAATGTATTACTGCGCCTCTGACATACAGTCAATTAACTGGTTAAAGATTTTTCAACAAATTTTAACCAATGAAAAAATTATCTTTGTCCAAAAGAATTACGGGTGACAGTATACTTATGACAACAATCCAAAAACAATTTCTTTCTTCTATTTCAATTTGGACAAATGCAGTAAAAGAAATTTATACTTTTTGTAAAGAACATTCTTTACCATGTCTTTGAATTTATCTATGAAATGAGTGGTATAGTTTAGACCGTTGGATTTTATGATCTCGTGCGGGAAATAGTAACAAAATTTCTATTCTTAAAACCAATATATTTGTAGAAACACACTGGAAAGTTCTTAAACGTGATTTTTTATACAAATTTTCTCAGCCACACTTAGATTTAATTGGATTTATTATTTATGGAACAAGTTATTGGTGTTGTTCATAATTCATAAGCTCTTTCGTTATTTGTACCATGATAAAAGTTTCCAGTCAAATTTCACGGTCTGTTAACATTTGAAGTATTGATGCAACTGTTTTGATTCTTTCATATGTTCCTTTACAAACCAATAAACTCGTATAATTGAGTTCTTTGGTTTATCGAAAAATGGTAGAACCTTTTGAGCTTCATTCTGAGCGGACGTACTACTTCCTTGTTCAAGAAACATTTCATAAATCTTTAATGCGATCATACTCCTTTTCTTGGTAAAACTAAATGGAACGACAACTCGACACCATTCTTTTACTAACCGAATGTACATAGATCACTGACATCCAATAAGGTATGACATATTTGCAGTATTGTGATTTAAAACTTCTAGAATATGTAATACAATCCAATTGGACATTTCAAAAATCAAATAACTTTTATTGATAATCAATACATTTTTTCGAAGCTAATGATACTTGAAATATAAGAATGAATGCTGCTTATAAAATTTGTCATATACATATTTGTTTATTTAAAATAAGATAGATAAATATTTCCTATTTAAATTTATCCCATTCTCTCAAATTCCACGTTAAGTTCATTTCCAGAAAGAGTCTGGTGATTACTGCCACCTATAAAAGCTCCACATTCAGGGCACCTAAATATAAATGAAACCCACACATTAACAAGTTTTAAAAAATAAAATAATAAATATTTATTAAAAAATAAATTAACTTACCTGCTTATTTGATCTGCTCCACCACAATCCCCTATTGTATAAGGATGCCCATTAGGGCATTGATACCAATGACCTGAAAATTTGTGCAATTCAAAAAATAGTTACTTATTTGAATTTGAATTTAATAAATAAATATTAAAGGTTAATATTTTTACCTGAACCCAAGAATTCTTGTCTCATTGCCTGGTGTATTTTTAATTTTTCTTCATATGATAATCTTCCTGCATTATCTGTAGCATTTTTAATTTCCTTAATTTCACGCAACACTGTCTCAATACGTTCATTACACTGTTCTTTGAAATAATAAACGCCATTCATCGAAGGCAATATTCCCAATTTAATAACTAGACAATTCATTTTGATGTCTGAACATTTATTTTTTATTTCTCTTTGTTGTATAGGGCTCAATCCAACTGATGGAAGATTTCTTAATTTGAATCTCTGAGCTCTACATTCAAATTCTGCCAATTCTAATGAGCCTAACGCAAAATAACGATTGTATTTGGATTCATTGGAAATTTGTATTATATGTTCAATATGTTTACGCAAAGAATTTATTAAAACGTTGGCAAAATCCATCCAATAATCTTTGTATGGCAAATGAATGGAAACATTGTGTTGTTTCATCTCAGTAGGTAATTCGGGAATAATTTTAGACACCTCATGAAACATTGCTTTTTGAATATTGATCAATTCAAAAAATGCTGCTAAATAGATTTTTCTGAATAATAAATTATATATGACATTGTGGTTAATATTAATAAACTAAATTTTCTGACATTTTCTTAATGCATTCCGTCTTTACCTATCGACTTTGGGTACCGAAATTCCCACCTCCTTTAGAGTCTCTTGGAATTTATTTTTTAGTACAGCGGGAGAGTCATTAGAAATTTGTAATAATGAAAAATCGTTGATAAGATCATCCATATAGAATCTCTCTTTAGATTTTGCTGCAAATCTAATAAAAAGATAATTAAAACATTTTTTGATTTATGATAATTATGCAAATTAAAATCAGAAAATAAGAATAAACAAAATAAAGAACTTACAAACTTGCTACAGCAGCTTCATAAGCGAGTTTATAGGGTGGATTGGTGGAATTGGATATTATAAGAGAAACTTGGCGATAATTGAAAAGAAGAGGTGATACATGTTTCCGCCACAATTCTTCATGATAAGGTGGTATTGAGTACTTTGTGAGTATCTCACATTCCTCCGGTGGAACAATATCAGGAACGATACGTTTAATTTTTTTATCTATTTCATAAAAGTCATCATCATTATTATTTCGTTGTTTTAAATCAGGTAAATCTGATTTTTTCAATTTTTCTAAAACTTTTTCTCTATTCTTTTCCAAATTTTTAATAATCTCTTCTAATTCTACTTGAATAACTTTCAAACGTCGATTGTATTCTCGCAAAAACTTTCTATTTTGAACGTCGAGAACACATTTTTTAATTATTCGCCCATAACGTTGAATATTTTTAATAGGAGCTCGACAATTGGGACATCTTTTAAGTTCTCCCGGTTGATCCGTGATCTCTTTTATATCAATCCAATTTTCCATGAAGTCCATATGATAAACGCTCTTCATCTTGGGAATTGAAATTGAAATGTATAATTGTTAATTATTAATTGTGCTGTATAATATTTATTACAAATAAAAATAACAAACCTCCATCAAATTATCCAAAGTTTCGGCAGTAAAGACATGACCACATTCAAGTACAATCATCCTCTCAGTAGTCCAGTCAACTTCCGAAAATGTTGTTTGCATAATCAAATCGACAACTAATTCAAAACAAAATATAATATATATATATATATATATTAACATTAAATAATATTGAATTGTAAAAGTATTTATATATTTTAAATATTTTAAAATATCCGTGTTCTTACTAGAATTTTTAATATCATCAGGTGCACAAATTATACAATATTTTGGTGGGGGACATTCTTCACCACATATCCCCATACTAAATATATAAATAACAATTAATAAATTTTAATTAAGCATGAGTCAACGGTTTTATTCAATTCTTTCATTGTAAATTTATAAATTACTGCTTACCATTGATGACCACATTTTAATAACTTTGAACATTGTTCATTGCAAGGTAATCTGTTACAAGGAACACCACAAGATACCCCACAAATTCCTTTATGTTCACAATACCAATCACACTCTTCTGCACACACAGAGCAAGGATAACTACATGGTTTATCGCATACTGAGTGCTTACAATTAACATTACACTTTTTTTTACAACCCGGACAATCTTTATTCAAATGACAAAATTCTTCGCACCTAAAATTTGTGAATTCATTGAATAATTTAATAATAAAAAAAAAAAGTAAAAAAATAAATAAATAAAATACTTAATAATGAAATACGAACAAGTGACCACAAAAGAGGTTCTTTTCACAAATTTGTTTGCATTTTTCGTGATGAGTCCTAACGATATGACCATTATTATCAAGTATAGAGATATAATCATTGGCGTGTATAGATTTTCTTTGACAGTCAGAACATAAGGATTTACACCTAAGAAAAATCAAATTTTAATTAAAAAATTTATTGCTATCAATTTTGTTTACGCATATTATATTATTAATAGATTCCTACACATGATCGCATTCCGGATTAAGCAGTCCACAAATGCTTTGACACGATAAATTATCAACAGATTTGTAACACTAGAAGAATTCAAAATGAAAATAAAATTTATTAATAAATTATTTTTGATATTTAAAATATTTTAAATATTGACATCAAATTTACCTCAACAGTAACTGTATGTTCACAATTAGCTAAATAATAAAAAATGCAAAATATATTAATATAATTACGTATTATCGAAATAAAATATTCTGGAGATTATGTTTAATATTTTGGGAATCATTAATATTTACGTAGCATTTTATCCACCATAGTTCGACATTTAATTTTGTCGAGGATATTTTTCTGGTAGCAAATTGCATCTATTAAAACATGTCCACAGGGCAATAGAAGATCGCCAATTGGGAAGAGACATTCTCCACAATTTTCTCCGCACTTCCGTGTACCTATAATCATTATATTTTGAAAATATTTTAATGTATTGTAATTACTTTATTACTTTTGTATTATTTTTCGTTTGAATATAAAAAAAAAAACATACATGGATGAGAACATCCCTTAAGCAATCGGTTGCATGGTCTAGTACATGTTATTGAAATATGTCTAAAAATGAAATGTATAAAATGAATCAATATATATATATATATTTTACTTGATACGTATCAAATAAAATCATTTTTATACAAACTTTGGATCATCCGGATGACATTTATGTGGACCTGAGGTTTTTAATAATTAATACTGTATATGTATACACAATACAGATATATATTTTATAATTTGAAATACTTACAAATATGCCCACAATCTAAAGCTTTACCACATGGAAGTAAACATCCACCATCCGGAGATACTTCTTCAAATTTTCTCGGATAGGTTATGATGTTTTTATTTTCAGGATGTTGATCACATATAATGGGAAATCCTGTTCCAACTTGATTACGTGAGCGAAGGATGTCGATTACTTTTTTCCACATGTCAGATTCATTTTCCATAAGTTCAGCATTTCCCATAAGATACATTCCATGTTTAGCTCGAGAAAGCAAAACGTTTGTACGATTTACAGTTTTTAGAAAACCAATTGTATTGCGCCTATGTTCTGTTATATTTCGAACAAGCGAAATAATAACAACATCTGCTTCTTCGCCTGAATAAGATGAATAAATAAATTATTAAATAAAATATTTAATTTCTTAAAGAAATCCTATTAGGAAATAATTAAAATCATCCGACCTTGAAAATTATCAATCGTACGCAAGCTCACCTTAAGAAGAGATTCGAATATTAGTAAATAAAAATCATAAGTAAATGATATAAATTAACTTTACAAACCTGTCGATTTAACTTTTTTCTTGATGCTATACTTATAGTGTTTGACATTTCATCTGTATCGTCATCTTTAAATTTTTCTTCCCAATTAGCAAGCTGTTCAGCATCACGCTCATCTATCACGACAGCAAATGATTCACTTAATGCTTCTTTTATTTTAATCATTTGGCCTAACAAATAAATTTTAATATCTTTAATAAATATTATTTCATTATTTATATAAAGATTTAATAAAATAATGTACCTAAATATGGTGTAAGAACAGCAATTTGTTCAGGCTTTGTATATCCATTTCTAACGAAATACTAAAAAAAAAAATTTTAAATTATATAAATTATAAAATATTTTAAATAATAATAATAATATATTATTCATTAATAATTACTTTAACCATTTCCACTACCATTTCTACTTCAAAATTATTTGAACGTGATTGAAGAGCGAATTCATTTCTCGCTGGATCCTCACAATTAACATGATGCATAAAGTATACATTATGTTGTATCCCTCTGACTTTAGGATAATCCTTCGTAAGTGGGTGATCCTCTAAATCTGGATAAATCGTTTGTCTAATTAAATCTGCAATCTCTTTTCTCATACGTCTTTGAGTCAAAAGTTGTGTTCTTTCTAAACGCATTGACTGTTCGCCATGTATTAGACGTTCAAATAAACTAACATCAAATCTATAATCTTTTCCTATATCAGATTCATAAGATAAAGAATACTATAAGAAGAGAAGAAGAAAAAAAATTAACACAGTTAATTTGATAAATATATTTTCTAATATATATATATATATATAAATATAAAAATACTAACCGTGTCTATTCATATTTTAATGAAATAATGAAAAACAAATGTTTAAGATTATTATTAAAGAAAAGAAAACAAATAATTCACAAATGAAATAAAGATAATTACTAATTTTGGGGCGTAATTGATTATGGTCCCCTATCAGAATTAAATGTTGAGCGCTTTTTGTTAAGCTAGCAAGAACATGTGCTTCAAGCACTTCCCCTAATAAACGCGCAAGAATATGAGAATGTTCATTCATTATTATATTATTCATATAACTTAATTTTTAGAAATTTAATAAATTTACCTGCTTCCTCACAAATAATGATTTTCGGACCAATTTTACTAAATTAAAAATAAAAGAACTATTATTAATTTTCACGCATTTTCAAATTGTTCAAATGAATAATTAATAACTAATACTAATAATAATCACTTTATAAGTTCATGATATTTAGCTGCGCCTGTTGTTGTCATTCCGATGACATCACAATCAAGCAGAACTTGACGTCGAACTTGAATAAATGTATTAAAAAGTAAACCATATTAAATAATTCTCTCTTAATGAATATCAAAAAAAAAAGATATAAAAATCACTAACCTTCATTATATATATCTTCAAGATCTTTCTTCTTATTTAAGTATCTTTCCTGAATATCTGAAAGATCCTTTGAAAGATCCTCGATGGTTTCAGAATTAATTTTTTCCCTCCAAAAGTCATGTAACCTCACACGTTCTTCTTTGGACATTCCCCATACATTCCAATCGCGCTTATTACAAAAAAAAAAATAATAGAATAAATAAAATGCGATCACAAATAAAAGCATACACTTATTTTAATCTAATACCTTTAATACTTCCAAACTCCTCTTTGTGGTTGGCATTTGCCAAGTTTTAATCCAATTATTAAATTCAACTTCATCACTATCATCATCACTATCATTACCATTATCATTATCATCATTGTCACCATTATCATCGCTAATACCAATTGTATCTTTTACAATAAATCTATCATTATTATCATCAATACTATCACTAATATCCGTAAATATATCATTATTATCATAACTAACATCCATAATAGCATTATTTACTGTATCATTATCACCATTATCATCACTAAAATCAATAATGCTTTTTACTGTATTTTCAGTATTCATTTCACCAATATAATCATTTACATTTACTGTATCTGTATCCATTTCACCAATATAATCATTTTCATTTATTATTTCTGTATAACCAATATAATCATTTAAATTTACTGCTTCTGTAAACATATCATCATCATTAGGAAGTAGAATAAATGGATTTTCATTCCATTTTCCTTCCTCCTCCTGTTCTCTATAGGGATTCATAAGGGATTCCTTAAATTTTTGTGCTGCCGTCAAATCATCACCATTCACCCATTGCTCGATTATTGAGCTTCTGTTTGTTTTTCCCTTTTTCTTGACCTTTCGAAATTCATCACCATTATTAATATGATCCAATAGGAAAGATGGAATATCAGGATTTTTTAAATGAATATAGTGAGTCGGATAATTTTCCACTAAATAATGGTCCACACTCGCCTGACCAATATCTAAGGTTCTATTTGTTAATTGTTTGTTAATTGTTGATGCCTCCTCTATAATTTCGTCAAGATCCTGAAAGGTCTGTTTTATTAACCATTTAGTTTGACTTCGTCGATTTCGACATATTTCATCAAGATTAAATTCGCTAATAATTTCAGATTTAGACCTCGAACCTATTCGTACAATATTATTTATGCCGATTTTTAAAAGATCTACATAATAAAAATAAATAAATAATCATCGTAATAATTATTGAAAATGAAAAAAAAAAAATAAATCAAAAATAAAACCTTCAAGAAAGTTGCCTAACGCATGGTTAGTATAACATATTGTTAGAATTGGTCCAATTTTTGTCGCTTCTTGATTTTCAGGAGCCAGTAATGCACGCATTATTCCGACGCCAACATAAGATTTCCCCGTTCCCGGTGGACCTAAATAATTCCAAATAATTCCAATCGTCAAAAGAAGAAAATTAAAAATAAAAAATTAAGTAATAATATTTGTAAGTCTCCTACCTTCAATCAATGCAACTTCACGGCATAAAGATGATACGAGCGCTTTAGCTATTTAAAAGTTATAAGAAATTATCATTCAAAAAAAAAACGAATCTATACAAAAGCTAAATGCAACATAAATAAATAACATTAATTTACCTTGCGTCTCATCAAACGTACTATGTTTTAAAAGAGTCTTTGTAACGTCATTATGGGACTGTGAGTCACTAACATTTAAATAAATGCTTTGATCTCTTGATTCTGGACGAAGTAAAATAGCAAGCTGTTATTAATATAATATAAAAAGAAATAATATAATTAGTTAGAAAAATCGTTCTCTTTTAAAGATGTTAAAAGGTTTAAAAAAAAAAACTTACATTAAATCTAAAATTTGGTGCTAATGTATATATAGGAGGGTTGACAGAAGTTGGTACATTTGATTTGGATTCAAATGGCGGAGCAAAATATTCTTCGAAGGGAAGATCTGAAGGATCAGTTTCTTGTAATGTCTTCAATATATTTTTAAAACTTTCAAAAAGAAGATCTGTGGACTCAACCAAAAACCTATAGCCAATCTCTCTATTATTTTTATGTCTAAACGATATATCTTTTATGGCAATCGGATGTAATGAAGTATCAATAAAATTGATACCAATTTCCGCATTTTCTCTATCTTTTGTCAAAAAATATTCATCTCTATCAGCAATGATTCCAAAATATATTGAATATTTTGATGCAATAGTTGAATTTGAATTCCCCACGTAGTTATTAACATCTTCGTTTGGCCAAAGAAGACAAACTAAATTTCCATTCCCAAGTTTTTTAGTTTTTCGCCAATAATCTTTGCGTTCTTTTACAGTTCGAGTGGGCATTTTCGTGGATGGTGGAGTAAATGCAACGCGAAAGAAAAAACCATTGCGACTATTTGCAATAACTTCGGTAAAGTGAATGTTTGAATACACATTCAAATCACCACCATCAGACTTTGATCTATATCTTCCGCCACTCTTTTTATAGTTTTCAATCTTTGCTCTATTCTCATTTGGTTCTCCAATAAGCGTCAAAAAACTATTAATACTTGTTCGAAAAGCGTTCAACATATCTTCTCTTAACAATCGAAATTGTCTATCTAATAACCGAGCAGCACCTTTAGGAAGATGATGTAAATCATCATTTCCACTTGCAACGGGCAAATAAGGTTCCCGTTTACATAGAATTTCATCCGTAGTAGGAATAATGGAAATCTTAGATATTTCCGTAAAATCGTTACTGTGACGTGGCCCGTGAACCGAAAGTTCACCTTTTGGAATATAATAGTAAATCAGTTCATAATGAATTGATAAATTAAAACTTTTACTTTAACAATAGCAAGCATTAATATTAAATGAACATGATGCGATACCAGGAGGATCATAACTTCTTTTTAGATCGACATTACGTGCAGTTTTTTTCCAATATTCTTTCACAGATGTAAAAACTTTTGATAAGGTTTTAGCTGTTTCTGATAAATTATGTTTTGGCTTATGTAACATGCCATTCATGCGATCGATTTCTCTATCCAAAACTATGAAAAAGTATTTACGTTGTTCTTCATTCATTGCAAGTGGATCAGAAGATAATGCAGCAGAAGTGAGTTTATTTTTCCATTCGTTTTTCAGATTTTCAAGCTTTTCACTAATATTGATCATTGTTTCGTCGATTGAAGCACTTTTAAATCGTTTCAAAAGTTCATTTATTAAACCCACAATAACTAAAAAAAATTGACCAAGTCTATAAAAAAGGTAATGATAATTAAGTTATAAAAAGATTATACATTACATTATTAATGCATAAGTTTATTGAAATTTATACTTGCGAGGTGGGAATGAATGTATTTTGATCATCGTTGATCAATTCGGTTTTACTGATTTCTTGATCATCAATATTATTGCGGCGAACCAATATTTGAAGCATATTAATAACACCATCGTATATAAAGGGTTCCTTTAAATTTAGATCAAATTAAAAAGTTATTACATAATTAAGATAGAAAAAATAAAAATAAAAAGTTGGTAAAAAAAAAAATAAATATTACCAAGTTATTATATACAATTGAGTATATGGCATTAAGGTACCGCTCAAGAGTACAATCTGAAATTGCCTTACGTGTTAAAAGAGCCAAGAATGGCAAAATAACGCGTTGAAATGACGCGACGTTGGGCTTTAAGCCTGCGTCAACAGACATTTCAAACATCAAAATTTCTCTAATTCGGGACATTCCATTTGGAGATCCCAAATGATAAACTAAACCTTCGACTTTATCTCTTTTTTTCTTTTGCAGTTACAAGACATGAACATATGAAACGTCTCATCTGATGTTGATTTTTCAATTCCTTTTCTATCATTCGCCTCCAAACTTTATTAAATTCCCTTCCGAGAGGAACTTGAATTATTTTATCGCTACCTCCATAAGTTAATTCTGACGAAGAAAAATTTTCGGATATTCTCTGACGTTGATCATTTTCAATTTTTATAATTTCTTCAGTACTTAGATGTGGTTTACGAGGATTCCCATAATTATTTGGCGTACGCCATGCAGGAATGGTTTGATTATTTCTACTTCCTCTAAAATTCCTAAAATCACCAGGCCTTCTATCTACCATAATTATAATAAATGCGATAACGATAGAAAAATTAAGAATTTAATTGTGGGAAAAAAGCCTATTATATGACTTTCGCGTTGTCATTGTTTCTAGAAATGGCAATACTAATAATATGTATATTTGACGCAATGATTCAAACATTACTAAACAGTAATATCATTACATAATTTGTGATTTATAATATAACATTACTAGATCAATATATCACTTGAAGACTTACATAATTTGTGATTTATAATAGTGTGCTAAATACAAATCCTGAAGAAAAAAAAAATATATTTATGAATAATTTTTTATTCTTTCTTAAATACAATCTGATTGTGTGAATTCGGGTTGTTTAGTATTAAAGCAACACGTAACATGTCTGATGCAAATATTTGTTAATTTGTCCCAGTGTTCAACCAAGATATCAAATTTTATCCAAAAATGGAGTGAGATCGATTTTTCCGTAGTTGTTATTTCTGGGCTTACCATTTCCTAAGTAAGATAAACGTCGCATCGAATGGGCATAAATTATAAATAAAAGTAAATAATTTTTAATTTTTAATAATGGTCATGCAGTAAAGATACTGAACGAACAAATTAAATAACTAGCCATTATTTTTTTAGAGTAACCACTCCACTGTTGTTATTTATATTTAGATTTATGAAATAGATCGGATTGTTTTTATTTTTTATTTTTTATTATTATCATTTAATGTTTTTCCTTTTCCGGGCAAATGTTTTGAAAATCTTCGAAACCTAATATGTAGCTCAAAACCAGAAATCACGTCCCAGTTCGGAAAAAATTCCTAAATAAATTAAATTTTAAAACCATAATTTTGACCCACTTTTTTTCCACTTTTTTTCACTCATTAATTAACGTTATATTATGAATGGATGGAGATGAAAAGTCTTGTTTGTGTTCAGTTTATTATAAAAATTCTTGTCAATCTTGACCAAAGAATTACAAATAAGGAAAT